GAAAAATATTCATAGGTCTCACTTAAAAAAAATTGTTGAAGCCACATGGCTTTTGCCAGATCTGAATTTTCTACTACAAGCAGACATTTGTTCTTCAGCTTTACTAGTTAATGTAAGTCCCAGAAATCCACCCATGCTATCACTTCCCTGCAAACACAGTTTATCATTTCCAGACTTCTGAGAAGAGAGAATATGCCAGAAATTGTGCAAACTCTTAAGCCAAACTATCTGAGGAGAATGCCTGTTGAAAAACAATACATATTCCTCAAGCAATATTTAAAAATAGCTTGCTTAGGATATTAGGAAATTTCAATTAGATTCAAGACATACATGTGGTTATTGCCTAGTCCGTGGCTCCTGCACTTGATCTTTCTGTCTTTGAGTGCCTGGTGTGCTTACAGTCTCCTTGAAACAACACTTGACACTGTTTCTACTGAAACTCCCAGACAGAGGCAGCTACCCCATCTCAGCATGCTTTCTGTAGCTGATACATAATAAATCACAAATAGGGACATGAAAATAGAGCTACCAGAAAATCCCATTAAAAAAAACTAATCTTACTGTTTCTCCGCAACTTGTGACCATGGGTCACCACAGTCACAGTACCACTCCAATCTTTCTTCAGTTCACACTTCTCTCTAGCACGTTTGCCTACCTTCTGCAGGTCACTCTTCATAAACGTGGACTCCTGCCCATCGTGTGTGTGTCTGTGCAATTGTTACAGCTGAACTGCAATTAGAATTATTTCCTTGTCCAAGCTGAATCTGATCTCCCTTCATTTTCCAAAATAGGATTCAAATGACTCCATGGCTTTCAATTAATTTTTTCTCAATTTCAAAACATTTATGCTTAAGCTTCAGTAGTAGCCAAGAATCCAACTACTCTGGCTGTTCTATCTTTGAGGAAAAGAATTTGAGACCTCTGAGCTTGGAAGCAGCCATAGCTCCAGGCAACATCACAGTCATTTTAGTATCTTTATAGGTGCATAAAATCTGCCATTGAGGTCCCAGTGCAGCAAAACTTTCAGTGATGAAATTGCAGTGTCTAAAAGAAAAAGTACCCATCTGCCGGCATTAGATGCAGGGCACAAGTCAATGCTAAAAGAGGTGGAGCAATGCTGCTTGCACGTTAGCAAGCTCTAACAATAGGTAGCTGGCTTCCTTTATCCAGGCAAATTTCCCTTGCTTCTGGCAAAGTGACTCACGATATGCAGTTTTGAACAGGTTACATAAAGTGCTTGTAATAGGCTAAACAGAAGAGCTGCAAGATATGTAATGACAAGAAACAAACTCTAATTATATACTTGTGTGGCAGCCTTCAGATTAAACAGAGATTGTGGAAATCCAGTAACAGATATTAACAAGTGCACAATTACATCTATTCTGTTTTCTGGTGTGATTCTTTTACACTTCTAATCTGCTTTGACAAACCTGTCTGAGCCTTATTCTTACCACCATCCTATTATTAAGAATCAGGATGCTACTGAAATCTGATTTGACAAGGAGCGGACTCAGGGCTTGTGTGATCAATGACATTGCAAGTCAGAAACTGCATGTGTGTCAGCAACTTCTCACAACAAAATCTGCAAAATAGAGAGGAAATGAAAAAAAGCAGCAACTGCATACTCTAGATGTCCATGACTGGATACAAATATCTAAAAGAAACTATAGTCTGGTGACCTGATTTTTGCAAGTATGCAATGGTACAAACAACCAGTCTCTCTTATACCTCCTACCCTGTTCCTCTCTGAGAAAAACACTCACAAAAAAACCCCCAAAAAAAACAACAACAAAAAAAGCCAAAAACAAACAAAAAACAAACAAACAAACAAATAAAAAACCCAAAAAAACCCCAAAAAAAACCCCACACAAACCCAAACAAACAAAAACCTAAACCAAAACCCCAAACCAAAAGCAAAAGAAACACAAAACTGACCCAAGCTAACAAAAACCACTCCACCCTGAAAGAACTGGCCACAGTCTGCACAATTTAGAATTTCTTTGATCTCAAAGTTATTTTAATTCTCTACCTTAAAAACTGCATGGAACCTGTATCCATGAAGTGTCTCTTTCATTAACTAAGTTCTTTGATCTGGGTGACTGAAACAATTTATTATTCATATTCACACTGTAGACTTAACAACTTCTCAAAATTTACAAATAGAGAACCCATAAGTAGTCTAAGACTATGTTTGTAAAAAATGTATGCAGCTGAACAGCTTTGCAGCCCCACCTTAAAAAACACCATTTAAAAGAGAGAAAAACACCCTGGTTTTCAGACATGAGAAAAAAAATAAAAACCAACAAAAAAAGCCAAACCAAAAACAAACAAACAAAAAAAACCAAAACCAAAAAACCCCAAACAAGAAAAAAATCCACCCAAAAAACTAAAACCAAATAAACAGAAAGTTATGTTCCCTCTTCTCGCAAGACTTTGACTAGATAGTAACAGACAATTAAAAGCCAGAAGAGCATTTATGTCAGAGTGCAGCAGAAGAAAAACTGAAAGCTAAAAAGAAAACAGTGGAAAGAAGGAGCATGATTCATAATAAAAATCATTCTCTGTCTTGGTTCAATTATGCATTTCAGAGTTTGAAAGGATAGCGTAGCAATGCTCATGCAAGCCCTTTCACAAGGTTGTAGTAATGTAAGAAATTTCTTTGAACTTCAACATGTTTACATTCACACAAGATGGCAAGTCAGCTGACTACTGTAGGAAATTGATGAGCTGGAGATTAATTAATTCAGATAAAGATGTTACCTACGTATGTTTTAGCTGAGATGAACAAAATAATAAAGGAAATATTGCAATAATCTAAAATTCCAGAGGAAAACCTGACAGCCTTACAAACTACTTATTATTCTGGAAAGTTTTATCATGGATGAAGTCAGAGGTGCTCTCCTGCAGATAGCTTGTTTTCATGTAACTCAGGTTAACTTAAAGCAGTGAAAAACAACCATTACTACAGAAGTTTGTAATACATGGATAGCAGTTATAACTACTTAAAAACAGCCCAAGTGGCTGAAAAAGCACCAGCTGAGGAAACAAGCCCTTCTGCAGCCCAGATTTCTGGAGAAGTGGCATGGGAAGTCACAGGAAGGACTGTAAGTATTTTTCAATCAAACAAGTGTAACAATACATGACTGGAGAACTGTAAATGGAACACCTGTGGGCAATTTAAAACAGGTAGCTTCTGGTTGCAAAAAAGCCTTCTGCAGAGCAAGTTTCCTCTTTGTAACTTACCTAAAACCATGGAATTAAATGAGAAATTATATGAAATGCCTCTGATGAACACAAATCTTACCGGGCTTACCCTATACTTCTAGACATATACCATTGATACATCTGAAAATTCATTTAAAAAAAGAAACAACATATATGGACTATCTGAAGGAGGTGAGGATCACAGAATCACAGTGTGGTTTAGGTTGGAAGGGACCACCAGTGGTCGTCTGGACCAACCTCCCTGCTCAAGTAGAGTCTTCAAGATTTAACAGAAGGTGCAAAGTTTCTAAGGAATTTGACTAAAAAAAAGAGAGACATTGTTAAAAGTGGGACATTGGGTTGTTACTAGTCAGCTCTGCATGGATAAATTTTGAGATCAAGATTTATTAATATTTTATTAAAATTATCACAAAAAGGATGATACTATTACATAATAATACTAAAGTATTAGAGGCATATGCAGCACAGAATCTTGAACATAGAAGAACTGGAGGTGTAATTATATGAAAAGGAAATAAACTGGAATAAGATACAACAACTGGTGATTCAGGGGCAGAACTTGGAGGTGACAGTCACTGTGATCTGTGATTATGATGTGGCTATGAATCACAGGTCTTGTCAGAGGGACTTCCAGAATTTGTGCCATAGTGAGAAGATTTCCTACAGCTTCCCCTGAAACAATGTGAATTTATAGTTGAAAAGGAACAGAAGAATATGTGGGATGACCAGGGGGAATGGAAGCTTGCCTACGGCTATTACCAATCTAGTCTAGCAACATAAACCTGTAGAAGTTCAGGCACCAAACATTTCTTCCTTTCTCATACTAATTGTCAAGACAAATTCTGACTGCTATATTTTAAAGTCATCAGTTGGGAAATTTAAACTAACCCATATTTAAAATAAACATTATTTCCTTTCGTTTCTGAGAAAATTATCTGGAATGCTAAGGCCACCAAGGTACTGGCAATGTAATTGCCAGGAAAGGGGTGGTAAAAGAAATAGCTTATTAATCTTCTTGACTTTACCAGCAGTACTGTAAGCGTGACACAGAAATTAAAAACCCTAATCACTGCATGTACTGCAGAAGCAGGTGGACCTCTGGGCTAGATTACAGCAATAATTTAAAACATAATCACCATTTATTTGAGATTATCTGTCAAAGTAATGATCAAATTCAGTAGCTAAAAATTTGATTGTGTAAATATGTAAATAAAAATTTTATAGCTCAGCTTAGTTACCAAAATTGCTAGTGGACCTAGATAATGCTGGTCACAGACAATCAGTATCAGAAAAACAAACCCCAAACCACTCTCAGCAATATCTAAACCGAGTACTGATACATGCTCCTTCATTAAATAAGTCCCCTCTTACACGTCTTTAAGAAAAACAGAAAACAAATACTGGGCTGCTTGGCAAAGTGCTAGAAAGGTGTTTTGCTTTTCAGATTACTAGTCTAGACATATCACATAAACACTCAAAGCATTTGGAAACTTAGTACATTTCTTACAACAGTGTTTAAGCCCAGAGATGTATCTGTTGCCAAGAGCAAAAATTTCTATCAATCTAGCAAGATGGTATTCCTTAAAGCTGGACTAAACAAGTTTTAAATACCTTATGATTTCACAGCACAGATAAAGTAATTTCAAAAACCCCACGGAACATATTTTATTTCTTCTTGGTTTTAATCTGTTCTGAAATATATTCACATGCAGCAGGTCTGGATTACAGACATGAAGGATAAAACATACAATGAAAAGGTTGAAGGTTTTATTTACCTTTTTATATGTTTTCTCTTCATTTGGCTTTCCAGCAGTAACATCTCCATTTTCAGTAACAAACGACATCTAGTAACAGAAGCTTAGGTTACAAAGAAGGTATTTGCTTTACAAAAGTAATTGTTCAGAAAAATCATATAATTTATTATCCATTTTTGCTAAATTCAAACTTTTCAGAGGACAGCACACTACCAAGATCAGTGAATCAAGGACTATCTAGGATATTTTATTTTCTACACAGACTAAAAGGACAGCACTGGCCCAGGAATATGTCCAGCATATGACTGATTCTACATGATTCTGCTTCTTTTCCCCACACCAGTGTGCAGTGAAGTCTTGCTCCTCAGCCTACTGCATGAGATGTGCATGAAAGAGAAAAACTCTGAAGCTTGTGAGCCAGATATTCAGTGGCACGTCTTAGTCGAAGGTCCTTGGCTGCATCAACATGATGTATCTCCTTAAAGTAGCAAGGAAATCATAGAATAACATGGAATTGCAGACTATTCTGAGTTGAAGGGACCCACAATGAGCACTGAGTCCAGTTAAGTGAATGCCATATACAGGGATTGAAGCCACACCCTTGGCATTATTAGCATCATGCTCTAGTTGACATTGTATCTTATCACAGCTGTAAAGTTATTCTAGACCAAGAATGAACCACTAAGAGATCACCTTGGTAAGACACTCTGAGTACATCTGCCAAAGTAAACAAAACAAAAAAGTACAATGACACGGCTTAAAATAATTCTAGATTTTACCAATACTTTGACAAGGGAATTATACTTACCCTTAAGAACAACAGAACAGGTCATCTGGAGCTGAGAGTGAAGATCAAGCCATTCATTGGTGGTGGTAATGCTTTTCACAACCTATTATAAGAAATATCTCTCATCTCTATGCCTTAACAAATTTCCTTTTATTAGCTGTAGATTTCCTTTTATTGCTATTCTTCCTCCAAAGCAAGCATTCAGCTACAAGTGAGGCTTTTTAAGATTCATGTCAAATAACTTGGTTGCTATACTTAGAATTTACTATACTTAAAACATATTATAACTTGGTTAATATACTTAGAAACTGGCAGTATTACACAGGAGGGAATCAGTGCAGAGTAATTCCTTTTTGCCCCAGATATTCCACCCCTGTGGCACAGGCAACTCTACAATAAAACATATAGGTAGAGCAATACACATATATGCTCTGGAGTGTTGTGTAATTACATGTGTTATTAAGGCTTATAATATCCAATCACTTATAAGAAATAGCTGTGATGGTTTGGAAGACAGCACATTGAAAAGTCAAAGATTACAAATAAGAAAAAATATAATAATACTTCAAATGAGAAGAAAATCTCACTTTGTCTTTAAGCGGTTCAAATAGCATCTTGTGCATAACTAAAAATTGGTTTAAAAAAGTATTCTCAGGCCTCATTCACTGATTTTGATTTTCCATTAATCTAAAAAGTATACTTAACACTACCAAGGAACCTTTTCATAAAAGGAGTCAAAGTATTTTCCTTTCCTTTTCTTCGGAAAAGCACCTGAGCCAAAAAAAAAAAAAAAAGGTGGGGGTGCACAACAAATAGAAACTTGGAGTTTCTCAGAAGAAAACAATGCCTCAGAAAAACATACTTCTTATACTGCATACCAGTATTTTCCTCCTTCAGCTAACGGCATTCTTCATTGTAGCCTCCATACAAGTAACATGTGTTAATCACTAATTCCTTCATTTGGATGTGCATTAGCAGTCTCCTATACACTGAACTCCTATCTAAACGCAACAACTTTGTTTTTATAGCTTTTTAAATTGTACATAGTTCATCTCACTCACCTATATTCACACATTTAATATTAATATTAATATTACTATTCATCCATGCTTACAACTCTATCAGTACACAAAGGCATTAAGAACTTGCTTAAACAGCTTTTGTAGGAAAATAAATGTCATTTTAATTACTAGTAGAAGACTTTTAAAATAACTGATCACTGGGTTAAAATACCAATCCCCACCCAAGCTGTTGTTCTCCACATACCTCCAAGACTATTGATACAATATGAAGTTCCACTACACACAAAACTTCCTAAATTATGAGCACACAGACTCAGCAAAAGCCAAACATGAATGTAACATGGGAGAGTTCTTTCAGTAAGTCAGCTCAATAAAACACTCATGCTAGACATGGGAGAAAAGCCTGGTTTTTTTCCCAGCACAGACAGACAAATTATTCAACACTTCACTTATGTGAAAATATACCCCTGCAATGCTGACAATAGGAAACAGACAACGTTCAGTAACTACCAAGTATAAAAGCTCATACACCATAAAGACAGTAAATTTTTCCTGTATGTGTCAATTACTTTCCTAAAGGCATCCAGAAGAGAATTTTGTTCTAATCTTCTGAGAAAAGACACCACTCTATCTTAACTGTGGTTGTGTCAAACAACATTCAAAATCTGTGCTGTGAGTACCATCTCTTTGTTCCATGCTAACAATGTTTTGCGAAGTATTACTCCTGTATTTTCCTCCTGCCCGAGAGCTAATGAAGCAGTACATGGTGCCCTCGCACACGTTTTATAATGTGCAGAGCAACAGCTACTGTCTCAGTTCTGAGGTTTAACAGTTCAAAGACAGGTCACAGTCTTGGACTCACTTCCAGACTAAGCTACAACTATTTATTTTTTTGTTGCCATAGCAGGAAACTACTGTAACTAAACTTGATCTCTGTATGTACCTGACAAAGGAAAAGTTCACAATAAAGTAAGATGTGGGGTAGGGGTGGGTAGAGGAAGAAAACTTTTTGTTTCAGAAATATTGTAGTGTGTTTTTTGCTGGGATAAAGTTAATTTTCTTCACAGTAGCTAGTGTGGGGTTACATTTTAGATTTGTGGTGGAAACAGTGTTGATAATTCAGGACTGTTTTCTACTCTTGCATAGTGCTCACACAGCATCAAGGCCTTGCTGCACCCTTCCAGTGCATGGGTTGGCAACGCACAAGGAGCTGGGAAAGGAAACAGCCAGGACAGATGAACCCAGCTGACCAAAGAGATATTCCAGACCATATGGCATCATGCTCACTTACACAGAGGTAGGGGGAAGAAGGAAAGGAGGACGGTCAAAGTGACTGTTTTCCTTCCCAAGTCACCATTAGATATTATGGGGCTCTGGTTTCCTAGCAATGACTGAACATCTTCCTGTCCATGTGAAATGGTGAATGAATTCCTTGTTTTGTTTTGTTTACATGCACAGCTATGTACCTATTTAGAGATAAACAGTCTTTATCTCTACCCCTGAGTTTTTTCACTTTTACCCTATTGATTCTCTACTCAGTTCCATCAGGGGGTAGTGAGTGAGAGAGTGTGTGGGGCTCAGCAGCTGGCTGGGCTTAAACCATGAGTGAAAGATGGCTATAAAGATCTTGTCTTTACCGTCTTAGATGCTATCCCACCTGATAACAAAGAAAGAGAAACATTTAAGTACAGTAGGAATTTAAAGAGGTTTTTTCCCAAATACTTTTGAAGAGTCAACATTTTGGTCACAAATCTTATGTGCAACAAAAACTACTGTGACATGTACATTTCTGGAAACACAAGATTACAGCCTTCAGTTTCAGCCTTCTGCTCCAAACACCTTCTAGTCCTAAATGCAGACTTTGAAAAAACCACATCTATTCAATGCATGCTTCGGAAAAAAAATAAAATAATTGTGTTTCACAGTTAGTTTCTCACAGGAGAATCATACAACCACACACTTCCTAACACAAACCGCAACTTCCATCACTCTGGGGGAAAAGTGCCATATGCATTTTCCTCTAGAGCTACAGGGATGCCTTTTTAATTTCTCCGATCAGCCAGAAGGCCACAATGTCAACACCACCCTGCCCACCACATAGCTAGCATTTTGGAACAGAAATTACAGACAGCAAATGTGAGCTTCCTACCCAGCTTTGATTTCTTGTTCTTGAATTTTTAATTCCATGTTTCTTATATAGTCAAAATTTTTCTTTTACTAACAGCATAAAGTATTTGTTTTTCCAGATTATAAATAGCCAGCTGTTTTACACAACCTCAGTTGCTGAGGCCCAGTTCACGTGAACAGGTATTTGTACCTTACACAAAAATGGCCTCTCAGCTCAATTTCAAGTTAACTTTATAACTTCCAACAATTTCAATAAAAGCCAACATTCATGAAAAATGCTATTGCTAGATTCCTACAGGCCCATGTATTAGTTCATTCAGCGAAAAATCAGGTCTACTTTTTTTCCATTACCATGAAAACATTTTGGGGTTTTTTTTGGATAATTCAATTCTTAGCATATTTAGACCATTTTCTTAAACAAATAAATTTTTTAAGCATTAATAAAGCATGCTGTTGAGGAATCACACTCCAAATAAAAGCCATGTAACTTTCATTATATGTAGTACTTGTTCTGATTGATAGTTAAAAGTGAAATATTCTTCATAGCTTTCAATACAGACATATCCCTGGGTGTACTGCTGTCTGGCTTCTGCAGTGAGTTAGAAACCTCATGCAAAAGAAAACATATTTATAACTTCGCACAGGTGTAATCTTTAATCTTAAATATGAGAAGTAAAAAAACAAGACAAAACAAGATGAAATGAAGCTTTAAATTTTCCAGTGGGCAGAGGGAGAACACTAGAAATCAAAGAATTCAATAAACAATTCTGTATGTTTAAGATTACTCATATATAAATAAAATAAATGGTACAGCACAGATTTTCCAGCCTGAAACACACAAATGCATTTTCAGAAACACTCTGGGTTTTTTGGGGTTTTTTTTTGGCAAGTGAATGCATTGGGATGGAATACACAATTTTGGATCAATACAGAAACTTCATTCTCATAGTTCTGTGCATTTCATATTACCTACTTATTTAACTGCTTCTTAATGCTTGAATGGCTCCCTTCTGCCAGGAGGACACTAAATCCTCAGAATGTGGCAAGTGACTTCTCAGAAAAGCACAGACTCTTGCATTAAATTCATACCTATGATACTAAGCGGGAGACAAAAAAATATCATCAGAATAGTAATTCTACATGTCCTAAGTGACTGGGAGTTTACACACCAAGACTGCATTCCTTCTTGACCACAGCAGCTTGTAAGGATGCTGACAAGAATTTCTAGTCCTACAAACAGCATTTATAGTGAATTCCATTAAAAACAATCATCAGGTCAAATTCCTTCATGGCTCCTGTCTCCTCTCTATTACAACTTTGAAGCAGCAGCTTCTAAGACAACTATGAAAACCATAGTCATTCCATTACTGCAAAACTCTTACTAGTAAGATTTGTTCAGACTTATTTTCCTTATGGAATCTGTGACAGTAGCTTTTAAAGACAGTTCTTCAACTCACTAAAAGGACTTGCAGATCTGTAAGACAGCATTCTTCCACTAAACCACATTTGGGACAGTCATACACTGCCAGATTTCAGCTCTAGTGTGAAGCTGGAGACCTTTGTTGCACAAAATTTTGCCAGAAGAGGCAAGCCTTCTAAGTTAAAAGTGGAAGAAATCCATGAACACATGTTCTCTTGTGCTTCCCCTACCCCAAGCTCAAGTACCCAAAAACCATTCATGGTATTCTTGGAGCTACCTGAAGGCAGGTCCAAGATCAAAAGGCACTATTAAAGCTAACTCCTTACTCTTAACCTACTTCTTTGAAATTATAAAGATTTGAGTTCATACCTTCTTAGGCACTGAACTTCTCTTACAGATGATGCATTTACAAATTCTCTCTCCTGTCTGGATTCTCTGCCAGCTAATACAATATGCACAACAGCACTGGATTTCCAAATTAGATCTCATCTTATCTTGTTTATTATTCCATGAAACTTGCTAGTACTCTGGACC